CGCCGAACCCCTGAAACCTACTCATCGAACCCCTTGGGGTTCGATCCAACCCAGGTTAAGAACCACTGGTTTAGATAAAGGTGACAACTGGTGTTTGAGCTTGAAAACAAATTGCAGGGAGTTTCTAACTTTTAAGAGGGTCGAGACAGCTCATGGTTGGATGAGCAAAGATACGCCTTATTTGAATAAATTAAAGACAGGAATACGCCTTTACTATAAAACTTTGTATACAGGAGTAACAAATCAGATTTGCTCTTGCAAGTCTCCAAAGACGTCTTTGCTCGTCTTTCTTCTTCTTTTCCATTTGTCTCAGGTAAATGAATGTATGTCTCTGTTGTTTTGCAGTTTCTGATGTAATTTCATAAGTTATTTACTATTGGATTAAACTCTGAAATTCTGTGACATCTACACTCATTGTTGTTTTCTGTGTGGCTTCACTTCGGCCCGCCGGGAGAACCTGATCCGTGAGAAGAAGATTGCGCCAGAGATTTTCTTAAAATATATTATAACCTAAAATATTCTTCAACATTACCCAGCTTGAGGTTGTGTAAAACTAAACATTCTAACTTGAGTTTTAACTCAATTCAAGTCAAAACAACATTTTAACTCAAATTTTAACTTTTTTATCTCCTCGGCTGGTTTGGTCACATGAGCTGCAGACTAACAGACAATCGTTTAAGAATACTTTCAATGGCAGGTATAACAGCAGGTAAATAGTGGTGAAACCAAAAATAGCTCTGTCTGAACTGTTTGCTGAAAGAACATGGAAGATGGCAGGAATATTTTAGCAGAGATCATCCATCCTCTTTATCAGTTTGAACCTCTGAGCTCATGAAGGTGTTACTGTGTTCCTCTGGCAACTAAGAACATTTACTAGAAGTCATTTATTGACAGTGCAATAATTATTAACTAAATAACATTTACCTATAGCATGCTAAGTGTTTTGCTCTATTCACAAATTATTGATAATCAATCAATCAATGAATCAATCAATCAACCAATCTATCAATAAATCAATCAAATCTTTATTCCAGACACAAAAAGATCCATAGAATAAAGGTAAAAACAAGCAAAATAAGAGGAAAAATAAAAATAAATGATGACGCCAATGATTCCATAATCTTGAAGAGAATCTCACTGTACTAAAAGCAGGATTTACTCAAATCTGTGTTATTGCATGACACAGATAATCTATACATGCATTTATACATAAGATTCCTGAGCAGAGCTGCACATGTGGGAACAGCATTATGTACAAACATATGGCTAGCACTACTCCATCTAGGCACTTTGAGTTATTATTTATAATGTATGAAAGTATTGTTTGTCATTTAATTAGCTCTACATCCTTAGGAAAATGAAAAAAATATGTTGTTTTATAAGATAATTTATTTTTTACTGTTCCAGTCATGCCAAATTAATATAAAATAATAAATACGTTGTGGTATGCTGGTTCAGTAATGCTAGTATATTAGTTGTGTTACCACCCCCACGCCACTACAGGCAGTAGCAAGCCCGAAAAGATGCGGCTAAGGAGCAGATTTAGAAGTAAACCGAAAGCTATAGAATTTGCTAAAAACTGTGAGCTGCGCTGAAGTAAATAATAGAATAAAATAAAGAAGTTCAAATACACTGAGAGTGAAACTCCTTCCTAAAGGTGAAAATATATCACAGATTTGAAAGGAAAATAAAAACGGAAATATATGAAATAGCGCCCCCTTCACTTCCGGATTGCAATGGTCCCGTTTCCAAATAAGGTATGAGACTGACAGTGGTCCGTCCCCGCCCCTTTCTGTTTGCTGCAGCGAGGTGTACTAATATATGGAGAGCCATTTGCGCCAAAATTAACTAAATAAATAAATGGGTTAAATAAATAAAAAATGAGTAAAATAAATCAAAAAATGAAGTAAATGAGTGAAATAAATAAAAAATTTGTTAAATCGCAAATGGCTCTCCATACTCATAGACATAATATAAGAGTAGACCCCGCATTGGCTGCTCCGGCCCAGGAAATACGGCGGCCATCTTGGAGCGGTCGAACCCCCTACTTTGCTCAACTAAAACAGCAGAAGATGCCTCAGCACTGAGGGATATTGTTGTTCGGATCGATGGATTATTAATGTGAGGGCTTGACAGACAACATTTCACAAGTAAGATGGACATAGTATTGTGTGTATATTGTCATTAGAATATTACTTTACTGCATTTATGTCCACCGGTGAGATACGAGCTAATATTGGCTACAGTGCTTGGTGTTATACCGGGTTCAGCCCCGCTATGAAGGAATGCTAACTGAGATTCTGTAAATCTAAAAAATAATTATGCTCTAATATTGGCTTAGATTATCTGACACAAGAGCCTATATTAGAAATGTGACAGTGTAACGTATATTATAAAACTTATATTACTTGTTATAACATTCTTCAGCAAAGTTTACACAGGTGGTAAAGACTATTATTTATATTCTTTCACTCTGTCAAAAGTAAGATACATCCTAAATCTTCCGTTTTTGTTTTGAAAGTTTCCTAAAGACACGATGTGAGGAAGAAGAGGGAGAAATCTATAAAGAGAGACGGATTCACTGCAGCACAGATGAATCTCGCATCGGATTTTGGACTCGTCGGCTGAAAAACATATATATATCTCGCCGGTGGACATAAATACAGTAAAGTAATATTCTAATCACAATATATACACAATAATGTGTCCATCTTACTTGTAAAATGTTGTCTGTCAAGCCCTCGCATCAATAATCAGAACAACAATATCCCTCAGTGCTATGGCTGTTTTGATTGAGCAAAGTAGGAGGGTATACCGCTCCAAGATGGCCGCCGCATTTCCTGCGCCGGAGCGGTCCATGAGGCGTCTATGCTTATATTATGTCTATGTCTATTATATTATGTCTATGGGTGTACTTGTTTCTGTTTGCTGCAGCGAGATCCTTCTCAGAGAAACCTTGACGTGAAATCTCGCGAGATTTTAAACTATGGCGCTGAGGAGTTGAGTGACGCCTCTTTCGGGGATTGGCCCGTTTGTTCCAGTTTAAACGTTGCCGCGCAGCTGTTAATAACAGGCTGGCTATTGCTAACAACAAAGAACGGATCGTAACATTTTTTTTCAGGTTTATTTTTCTTTTGGTATTTCTTATTATTGATTTTATGAGCTGTTTGAAGCATCTGGTAATCTCTGAGATGTTTTTCTGGCCTTCTGTTTACGGGTAATTTAAAACCTGAACAGAACTCAGCTGAAATTTAGTCCAATTTTAAATGTCTACAGTTGACCTCTTAGCTGATACAGCTCTGGATCTGCATCAGATGATTTAAATCTTCAGCGATCGGGTGTTATACTACGGTGTGTTTCGTTTCTAGATTTTGTTTTGTGAGTGTTTATGTGAACGGAATTCCCCCCTCTCAGGAGCGAGGAGTGATTGTTCGCAAAGATGATGGAGTCATGTTTTACTGGGATACCGAAGAGAGTCGGACCAGTTGAGGTGGAGGACATCAAAAGAAACCTGCTGGGTGAATTGGAGGCTGTGGAACCACAGGTAGGTCCACCAGGCTTTCTGTGGTGATGAAGAGGACGCTAATGATGATGATGAAGATTGATGAAAATCAAATTTCTCCTGGTTGGAAACGTTCATTCATAGACGGAGAACCTGCATGTGTACCTTAGAGTTCGGCCCTTTACTGCAACTGAAAGCGACAGCGGAGAGTCCCAGGTAATCACACAAAACCACTGTCTGGTTTAGCACCACCAGGCTTATTTAAAAGTGATGAATTGATTTTAAACTACTTTCTCAAGATCACAAATTTTATAATAAGTGAAATAATTTGCTGATGAGCTGGAAGCAGCATTTAATCCAGCTCTGATTATAAAAGGGTCTGTGTTTTTGCCTAGTGATAACCTGGGTTCTGTGCCCAAGCTTGACTTCAGCGGCTGTGTTTTCTGCTCTAGGACTGTGTGACCATTGAGGGTTCCAACTCTGTGGTCCTCAGAGCTCCCAGGTTCTGTCAGCCGAATCGGCAGGGCGACAAGTCTCTCCCTCAGACTGCTCAGCGGTTCACCTTCACACAGGTACCAGTGATGTTCCTGTGCAGTGGGGTCAGGAGGTGTTTTGTGTTCTTAATGTTGTCTTGTTTAGGTGTTTGGCCCCGAAGCCAGTCAGAGGACTGTGTTTGAAGGTTCAATTCGTGGTTTGGTCCAGGATGCTCTGCAGGGAGGAAACTGTCTGGTGTTCACTTACGGAGTCACCAATGCTGGAAAAACCTTCACCTTCCTCGGTGAGCAATAGATTAAGCTGGCTAGACTTTCCAACCTACGTGAGACTATTTATCTGTGCCAATTTCCTTAATTTAGGGGGATCAGTGATAAGCCGATTTTTACATATGAAGCCGATCTTATCCACTGATCTTATCTAGCTTGGCAAATGTGTAAGAATCAACCACTGCCCTCTTTTACTCTCGGTGAGAAAGGTTTGACTTACAGACCAGCCCTCCAAGTTATCTCTGCATGTTTACAATTAACAATAGTGACCCCACTGTTGCCAACTCAACAACTTTCTTGGTATATTGAGCAACATTTCAGACAAAATAAAAAATTGGTATCGACCAAAATCGGAATCAGCAGATTAAGCTCTTTAAAAGATCGGTAATTGGCCAGAAAACTGCAATCAGTGCACTCCTATTCTCACCCTCTGACCACGTGTCTGTCTCTTAGGGCCAGACCACAACTCCGGGCTGCTTCCCAGGTCTCTAGCAGTCATCTTTAACAGCATAAAGGGACATCTGTACAGCCGCAGTGATCTGAAGCCTCAGCGGTGCAGAGACTTCAGCAGACTTACCCCCGATCAGCAGGCAGCAGAGATCAGCAACAAGAAGAACCTTCTGAGGCTGCTGAAAGAGGTTAGACATGAGTTCTGTCATCATGAGTCAGACTAAGCAGGAGGTTTGCTTAAGCTGTGCTCATCTCTTTATCTACAGAGCGACAAGAGTCTGACGACTGGGAAATCAGCTTCACTTGAAGGTCAGTGTTTGAAACATATTTTGGATTATTCCACGAGATCCAAAATGACTTCAAGGTTTCTTCCGGTGCCACGAAACAGCTACAGTAGCCAAAGAGACTCTGCACTTTTTAAATGTATCCATTCCCTCATCTTGTGGAAGTGAAGTCACATCTGTTTCAGAGCCAGCAAAGTGTAACCTGTTTATGTTTTTGTGTCAAGGCTCCTCCGTCAGCAGCGATGGTAGCATGAGCAGCGTTGCTGAGGCAGACAACTTCTGTCTGGACATTCCATCAACTGTTTGCTTCTCTGTTTGGGTCTCATTCTGTGAAATCTACAATGAGAACATCCACGATCTACTGGAACAGGTAACAAACTGGTGTTAAGCTCATAGGTCACTGTAAAGTACATGGAGAAGTTGAGAAAATGACTAAACTCTTCCAAATGAAAACAACAATTTCTGCATCTGATTAAAGTCATGTTCAGGCTTTCAGTGTGATTAGATTGCTAAGTTAGCAAGAAAACTGGAAGGCAGAGGCCTTCCAGTTTTCTTCCTAACTTTTGCTTTTGCATCTGTTGATTATCTCTGTGTGAAATGTAATCTCAAGAGATGGCTTGGATGCAATATTTAAATAGATATTATGTTTCTAATGTGATATATTTATGTCACATTTGATAGAATATTCCCCCATAATATTCTACTTTGTGGGGGAATTTTTCTGCTATAATTAAAGAGCACACATGTTCATCTGAAAGCGGGATTTCATGGTTTTTGTTTGACAGGTGCAATGATGTATCAGCGCATTTAATCGATCATAACTCGCTAAATACTAAACAGATTTTCAAGATTTCTTTGCTGTAAACCTTATTCAAACAGCTATCATAGCTACATTTGCAATTACGGTAAATTTATTTTTTTAAGTATTTTTGAATTGGATTAATACGTGGTTCAGCATATTTAACTATTAGTGGAGAAAACAGAAAAGATTCAGAATAGAATGTTTTGATATTGATGTATGATGAGCATTTTACAAAGCACACAACCAGTCATATTTTTTTAATATTTAGTAATATCAATACATATTTATATAAATATGAAAAATATCAAAGGTTTGCATTTTCGTGCCTGCTAAAGGGGGGTATCATGGGGCCAAAGTTCACCTATTCGCCATGAAACAAAAAACTGTTATAACTTTTACACAAAAATTCACAGAGGCACCAAACTTTCAGTGATTGATCATCATCGGGTCCTCTATAATACCCAATGGTGAAATGATGAGATCACTTAGGCCACGCCCCCTGAGAACAGGAAGTGTCATGTTTTACTCTAAACGGTCGCTATCTGACCCCTTTGACCTAATCAACATGAAACTGTGTCCACAGACAGAAAACATGTTGGTGTAATGTGGATTCCAACCCCGTTTGTTTTTGATTCAGTAGGTGGGCGTGGCGAAGTGACCTGTAACGCTGTGTCCATACGTTTGGCTCTAAATCCCATAATTTTGAGCCGAGCTGCACCAAACTTGACATGAGTGATCCTGGTTGGATACCTTACGATCGATCCTATGTGGTCATAGTCTGACGTCATCTAAGCCCTGCCCCCTCAGAACAGGAAGTCCCTTTTATTCCCTTGGAAAGCTCCATCTCTGGCTCTCTCGATCTAATCAAGATGATTCTGTGTTGGACGACAGATAACAAGTTGGTCTCACTTTCTTTAAAGTGCCAAGAGTTTTCAACAGAGGGCGTGACAATGGCGGCGTAGCGAAGTTACCTGTAACACCATCGCCATACGTTTGCCTCTAAATTCTATATTTTCAAGCCGACCTGCACCAAACTCACTAGGATGCATCCTTATCCATCCCTGAACAGGAATCCATAACAGTTGTTGATGGGCCTAATTTCTCTACAGCGCCCCGTAGAATACTTTAAATGATCAGCCCCAAGCCATGCTTTAACCTAGAATTATGAAACTTGGTACACATGTGTATCATGTCAGGACCTACAAAAAAGTCTCTTGGAGCCATGGTGCAAACCCAACAGGAAGTCGGCCATTTTGGATCAAAATCAGCCATTTCTTGTTTTTTATAGACGTCGCATCTGATCGAACTCCTCCTACAACTTTTGAGATACAGACTTCTAACTCAGTCAGCAAAGTGTTGAGATATTGAAGGTCAAAAGTTATCGTAGGAATTTTTCTATGTCAAAGCATGTGGGCGTGGCTAAGTCCCAAACTTTGACTATTCGCCATGAAACATCAAGATGCAATAACTTCCACATAGAAGGTCACAGCTGCATCAGACTTCCTATATCTGACTACAGACCACCCCTCATCACATTGAGATGGTCAGTTGATGACATCACCTTAACCCCGCCCACTTCCGACAGGAAGTCACCTGTTTTTTCTATTGTATGTCTTACTTTTACTGTAGTATTCATATGGAATTAATCCTCTGCCAACTGACATAAAATGACTTGATGATGAACTCTGTCAATGCCTACTGACCCGTGGGGGTGTGGCCAAATGGCAGTCCCTCGCCATATGCATACAATTGGCTCTAAATCACACATGCACCTTCCGATTAGCACCAAACTGGATACGTATGACCTTTGTTCACCGCTAAAGGGCCCCCTAGGTCATTCCATCAGCTATATCTCCTTGCTACATTGGCCGATCTGCACCAGATTTTTGGTGTGTCGTCAGGGAGTGATGCCGAACTCATCGGTGCGTATGGCCTGGCGGACGCGTGCTTCAACTGTACGAGAGCGTCCGCGGTGGCAGGGGGGCCGCGGTGCTGGAACCCCCTCGGTGGCTATAGGCCGGAGCGGCGTTTGGCTGCAAGGGCCGCTCGAGGCTGCTTGCAGCTTTAATTTTAATTGTGTTTTTTGATTAGTTGTTTTTAAGACTAGTTGTGGATTTAAATAGCGTTTCACTGGTGATGTTTTCCCGTAACATATAATTACCCAGTAATATTTTTACTTTTCCTGTCTGCTTAGCATCGTTAATACAAGAACACGGTGGACCACCAATAGACCGCCTCCGCACCCCGACCACCGAGCTTAGCAAGTTTTCTGGGGAAAACCCTGAATCCTGTTTTCAAACAGAAAATGTGTGGTCTTGGATTATGGCAGAAAAATTCCCCCATACTATTTGGCCAGATTGACCGATTTGAACTGCTCTTAATGTCCACATGTGGAAAATGAGTTCTAATTGATACCATCATTGCAATTTTCAAGAGTATAATTGGAATTGAATATCTTCTAGAGTTTGTGTGGCCCTAGATCTGTAAAGGAATAAGTTTCTGTTTGGGGTTTATGAGTTGGTTTAAATGCTTCACATTTTTTCATGCTGTTTTAATATGTGTGGAGACCAGACTGAGGCAATTTGAACACCAGATGGTGATGTCCTTCCAAAGTTTGGCTTAGGATCTGGATACAATTGGGGGGAAAAAGCATTTTATATTCTTAATGTTTAAGAGATAAAAAATAATGCTTACAAATTAAACATGTACATTTACTGTCAATTATGTTTGTTATTGTACTCTAATTTAATTGTAATTCCTGTCTGCTCAACCGGTTTGGGTCACCAGTCTCCTCCACTCTTCTTTTGTAATTAGAACATAATTGATTAGGCCTGTCGCGATAAACGATAAATCAATTAATCGCACGATAAATTAAACCTATCGACCTCATTTTAATTATCGGTTTTATCGTCTCTTCCTGTGTTTTTTTCTTTCTCTTGACAATGAATGAAAAAAGGCTCAACTCCGGCGTTCTCCACTGACCTTCCCTTCCTATTTCCTTTGTGTAATGTCCAGTGCACACGACAGGAGTTGTCGGCCCATTTTCAAAACCTGAGAGACCACAGATGAGCTGACAGAAATCCTAGATATAAGGGTTCGATCGGGTTCGATCGTGCTGTGTGGTGTCCAGCCACACAGCCATTATTTTGGACTTGTAGCCCAAAATAATGCCTGCAAGTCTAATTAACTAATTTTAATATCAGGCATTAATCAATGCTTTACTAGAATCTACCTGCAATGCATGGAGTCAGCGTAAAGTCCTGACTGAATGAAAATCATTATAACCTATTTATGTCACGTTAACGAAGAACAGCTGAAAACTTACCGGGTTTATCAACTGCGGTAGCAATTTGGCTCCAACTCCTCTCCTTGTCATTTCTATATTCTTTGCACGAAATAAATAAATATTAATGTTGTTTCCACATATCATCTCCGATGTCTGCTGGACTTCGGGTTGCGCTGTGTCAGCTGTTTGGGATTTCCCTCCGTAATTTCCCCTCAGAAAGCGCAGAGGAGAATCCGCGCTTTCTGATTGGCTACCTGTCACATTCAGAGTTAACGCTCCCAGTCGGGGAAATCCCCTGATTTAGATTGGAGCGGCCAAGACAATCTAAATCACACTGCAGGATGATCAGTTACGAAACCACCAGCGACAATCTTAGAACGGCCAACGATCTAAGATTATCTTAAGGGGAAAATAGGGGCAAAAAATCATGTAGTGTGAACTACTGCATTAGGTAGTCGGATGTGCCCATCTTCTCTATTTAAATGTAGTGATTACTGAAGGGCAATACAGACTTCATAATCTGCACTCTTTTGGTTGAATGTAGTATTTGTTTACACTTTGGCTTTATGTTGTTTAGTTTTTATTAAAGTACGTTTTTTGTTAATGGAGACTGAGAATCCATTTTATTTTTGTTTTTGGTTGTTTTGTTTTAGTTTATCAGTTCCAGTGTTATGTGTTCTTTTGAAAATAAAGTATCTATCTGTGGCAGGAAATGGCGTACATTATTAGTCATTTCCATTAAATCAGTGTCAAAAGGTCTTTAAACAATATTATTGTTTATCTCAATAACTTTTTAGATAATTAATCGCTCAGCAAAATTTGTTATGGTGACAGGCCTATAATTGATGTCATTGTGTGTGGTGTTCAGGTTCCCAGCGGACAACACAAGAGGACGGTGCTGCGTCTGTCCCAGGACGTTAAAGGGAACTCCTTCATAAAAGGTATTAATGATTCCAGATAAACCTGGAATCTGATGATCCAGCTGCTGATGTTTTCATTCTATAATTTATCAACACAGATGGATTAATCTGATGGACTATTTAACTAGTGAATACATGCTTTGGGACCTTAGCTATGTTCAGTTTAAATGTTTAATAAAAATCCTGAAAGGGGAGAAGAATCCTTATAATCCCCTCAGCATGGTGAATAGTTTGACTGCAGGAGTTCTGAGCTGGAAATTGGTTGCAGGCAAACATGCTGACTTTCTGGGGAGCTTAAAACCTCACAACTCTGGTTAAATCTTCCAGGTTTTCTCTTTACTCCTGCTTTCAGTCAGGTATAAAGATTATCAATAAAAGCTTGTGCGTAACCTCCCGCACCCCTGCACAGTATCCTTTTGTTTTTGAAGCTGTGGTTTGGTCAATGTTCCTAGCGCTGACCGCTGCTTTCTGTGCAGACCTGCGTTGGATCCAGGTGAACAGCTCAGAGGAGGCATACAAAGTAATGAAGATCGGGAAGAGGAACCAGAGTCTATCTTCTACCAGACTGAACCATCTGTCTAGCAGAAGGTCAACGTGACTCCAGTGTTTACTGCAGCATACATAGATGTGAACGCTGACCTGGATCGTTTATTGTTTCTGCAGCCACAGCATCTTCTCCATCAGGATCCTCCGGATTGATGATGTTGGAGTTCCCAGAGTCCTCGGCATCAGCGAGTGAGTCGTCCTCCCTTTGCTCCATTCCAGAGGTATTGTTACCGGTTTGACTCGTGTTCTGTGTTCAGGCTGGCTCTTTGTGACCTGGCTGGTTCGGAACGCTGTTCTCGCACCCACAACACTGGAGAGCGCCTAAAAGAGGCGGGAAACATCAACAGCTCCCTGCTGACGCTGGGGAAGTGCATCAACGCCATGAAGCTCAACCAGAACGCCAAGTACGATCCCAGTATTCGATGCTGTTCTGATGTCACTGCTCTGCAGCACAACAGCTTCAATCCGATGTTTCCATGCAGGTTACAGCATCACGTTCCCTTCAGGGAGTCCAAACTCACCCACTTCCTACAGTTCTTCTTCTGTGTTTCTGGCCGCGTGTCCATGGTGGTCAACATAAACCAGAACACCTCCTGTTTTGACGAGACGCTCAACGTCCTCAAGTTCTCCGCCATGGCTCAGAAGGTGCCACCCCCACTACTGCACACCCCCTTCATACAATACAAACAAGTTGCCGTCATCTGCAACTTGTCATATGACCTTATTCTTTATGATAATAATACTACTGCTACTAATAATAAAAATGCCAAGACATAGTATAACATTACCATGGTGTGGCACTAAGGTAATGTTTCAGGGAATGACTCTTCATCAGAATAATTAGTTTTATATATTTTTATATCTTTCTATGTGGTTTAGGTTGTAGTTGTATTTTTGATTGACTATATCCTGTTGTTTTTGACATAACTT